CAAGGTCAAGTCCTGGCGCACTCACAAGGGACAGACCCACGTGTTATACCAGCACCCTGTACCTCCCTCTACTGAGACTTGTCTCAGTTGCAATTTTTGTATTTTTGTTTGCATGCATGCAGGGGCTTGGGCAGTTTGGGGATCCCACCAGCGCAAGCGCAGTTCAATAAATCTTTGCTGGCTGCAAGCCGGAGGGCGCCGTCTGGGTCCCCGAGGGCAGCCCGGGGAGAAGGGTCGGTACCTGGTCCCGGGGCGCGATGATGTGCCAGGAACAGCTGATGCCTGGGGGGTAATCGGACTCGGGCCAGTTGGGCGTGGTCAGGGTTCCCTGGGCCTTCTCCAGCCGCCCCCCGCAAAATTGGTGCTCTGGGGAGGGGAGAGAGGAGCGGGGGTGGGGGGCGGTGGAGACCCTCGGTCAGCTCTAGGAGAGCTCCAGGCTGGGAGCCCCGGCAGGCAGCTTGAATGTCTGGGGCTCAGGATGAGGGGACGAGAAGAAGGGGAGGTAAGATGGGGGCAGGTTAGCAGAGAGTGGCCGGGAGGAGCGCGGCTCGGGGAAATTTGGGGCAGCAGGGCACACAGGCGGGCGGTGGAAGCGGTAGGAGGAACTGGCTGGACGCCCCCTTCTGGCCCCTCCCTGACCCGCGGCCGCACCGCGCCTCTTCCCCTAGGAGATCCCATCTCCCCGGCCCGGCAGCAGAGTCCCCTTTCAGGCTGAAGAGGGTGTCCTCGACTTGGGGCACAGTCCCCGAGACCCCCTTTGCGGAGGTCCCCGCCTGAAACATTGCAAGGGAAACTTCTGCCGCCAGGAGTGGGTGATGGGACCGCAATCGGGAGCCCAGGGCTGGGTGTAGAGGGGGGCCCCCCTCGGGTGGGAGGAACCTAGTCCCCCAGCCCTGGGGTGCCCCCTCGCGCCCGTCGGAGGGAGCCCGATTGCGGACGGGGGCGGGCAGTTACTCACCGTCCCAGTAACCCCAGGCCGCCCATTCCACCCGCGGGTCGGTGACCCATTTCCGCCTCGCGCCTGGGGGGGGCCCTGGAAGAGGGGATGGGTGGGTGCGGGAGGGTGGGAGAGAAGACGGGGAGGAGGGACTGAAGAGGCGGTTAGTGAGGAAAATGGGTCAGGGAGGTAAGGGGCCCTAGGCGCTGGGTTGCGGGGTGGGCGGGGCGGAGGTTTGGACTGGGGGCAGGGCTGCGCCCGGGGCGGGGCCTGGAGAGGGGAAGGCGGAGGTGAGGGAGGTCTCACCAGTGCCTGAGGTGGCCCGCCCGCTGTACCAGAGCAGGAAGCCTCGTCCTCCTGTGCCCTCGTCTGCCGTCATCCTCAGGGTCACCTGGTTGCCAGGGGCAACTAGGGGCGCAGGCCGGAAGGTCCCGCAAAAGCGTCCGAGCCGCTGGCCCGAAGTCCCAGACCCAGCGAAGACCTCCAGAGCATCGTAGCGGCAGGCAGGGTGTAGCTCCAGGTCGAAGACTCGGAATGAGAGGGACACAGTCTGGCCCTCGGGGACCTGATGGCGGGGACAGAGGTGGGGACCCACAGAGTCAGGCCCCACACAACCTAGCCAGAGGGCAGCTCCCCTGCCCAAGCGTTTCTTGCAGAAACGGACTGAACAGGAAGGAACCTGCATGTGAGTGCAGGGCAGAGGGCCTGGTCTCTGCAGCGCTGCTGGTGGCCTGTGCAGGGGACAAGAGCTGAGGTTTTGGAAGAGGAGGGAGGGTTGGGGGCTGGAGAATGAGAATTTGAGGGAATGGTTAAGAGAGTACTTGTTGCTTGGGAATTATGCCTTCAGTGACAGAGGGAAGGGAGCTGCCCCAGGTTGAAAAGGTGGTGCTGGGGGAGGTGGGGGTCCCTTCACAGTCAGGCCTTTGCCCCTTTGACAAGGGATAGTGCCCAGAGGGGCTTCTCACCGTTATGGTCCAGATGCACTCCTTATTAGGTGGGTAGAGGTTGGGGAACCCCTCACTTGCCACGTAACCTGATTCCCCCTTCACATCCCCTCCGCACAGGAACACAGGTCTGGAGAACAGAAGAGAGGTCAGAAAAGAGCAGGGATGGGTGGGATGGGGGAGCAGTGGCAAGATGGGAATGGGGTGATGAGGATGAAACTCCAGGGAGGGAAGCCAGGAAACAAAATGGAAAGGCCTTATAAAAGACCTGGAGCAGGGCCAGTCACCGTGGATCACGCCTATAATCTCAGAACTTTGGGAGGCTGAGGTGGGCGGATCACCTGAGGTCAGGAGTTCAAGTCCATCCTGGCCAACATAATGAAACCCCATCTCTTACTAAAAATACACTTTGCTTTTGGAGACAGAGTCTCACTCTGTCGCCCAGGCTGGAGTGCAATTGGCTCACTGCAACCTCCATCTCCTGAGTTCAAGCAATTCTTCTGCCTCAGCCTCCTGAGTAGCTGAGACTACAGGCACCTGCCACCATGCCTGATTAATTTTTTGTATTTTTAGTAGAGACGGGGTTTTGCCATGTTGGTCAGGATGGTCTCGAACTCCGACCTCAGGCAATCCACCCACCACAGCCTCCCAAAGTGCTGGGATTACAGGCGTGAACCACTGTGCCTGGCTAAAAATACAAAAATTAGCCTGGTATGGTGGTGCACACCTATAGTCCCAGCTACTCAGGAGGCTGAGGTTGGAAGAATTGCTTGAACCTGGGAGGTGGAGGTTGCAGTGAGCTGAGATTGCGCCACTCACCACTCCTGCTTGGGAGACAGAGCGAGACTCCAAAAGAGCGAGACTCCAAGACTCCGTCTCAAAAAAAAAAGCAGGGAAAGGTGGGAACGAGAGGGGATGGGGTCATGAGGATGAAACTCCAGGGAGGGAAGCCAGAGGACGAAATGGAAAGACTTGAGAGACCTGGGCAGCTTCCACCAGCCAGGACAGGGCTGGAGTGTCCCAGACTCCAACAGAAGATAAGGGAAAAGTGGGCCTGGTAACTCGACCATCCCTGCAACCCCACCCCCACCCCAACAGGAATTCCCGGAATCCTCCTCGGCCCCCCTTCCTGACTCCCCCCTCATTCTGCCTGGCAGTCCGGGGACAGGAGCCGCCTAACTACTTCCAGATGTGGACACAGCCACGAGGCGATGCGGGGGGAGAGATGGAGGGAGCGGCAGTGGCGATGGCCCTCACAGTGAGCCTGGAGGCCAGGCTCCCTCAGCTTCTCACCTTAGCCCTGCCCCTGTTCCTAACTGCTTCAGAATCTGACTCCCACTTCTCCACTCGCTGCCCCCTCCTCCCCCTACAATACCTCTCTAATTCCTTCCTAGAATCCAGCTACCAGGCAAGTTCAGGAACTGGGCTCTCTCTTGAGTTCTATGGGGAGCCAAGGATCTGGATGGGTGAGGAGACTTAAGAGCAGTGATGGCCTTTGGGAGACCAAGGTCTTGCAGCAGATGTGGAGCAGTTGAGGGCCAGAGAAAGGTGAGGTGGTGGGGAATCTGGGGAGTGGTATGTCGGCCACAGAACCCAAAATATCCCCAGGCATAACCCCCCAGGAATCGGGAGTCTGAAGTTCACTGGAGCTGTCTGGAAGATGCCAAGAGACCTACCTGGTGTAGTTGGGGGTCTGGCCCTGGGCAAAAGGCAGCAGGGCACAGACAGTGAGGAGGGGCCCCAGGAGGGAGGCTGTGGCTGCAGGCAGCATGGCCCCGGGGAAAGGCGGTGGGGTCCTTGAGACAGAAGCAGCAGCTGAATTTTGCAGAGCAGCAGTGGCGGCAGCAGCAGCAGCAGGATGATCAGCGCCAGATGGGGCAGCCTCGGGTGTGTGGGCGTGGGGACTGGCCAGTGGGGCGGGCGGTGGGGAAGGCGGGACAGTGGAGCGTCCTGGGACCTCTCTAGGTCTAGGACACATAAATATTGACCTAAGGAGGAGGAGCAGTAGTGAGGGGCAGAGGCCATCACCCAGGCCTCAAGTAATGTCATCAGGAATCCCACTCTATCCAGTGAGGGGGCATCTTTGGGACCTTCTGAGGATTCCCTATCCCCCATCAACCCCCAGCCCCTGCTTCCTCAGCTCAGGAGCCCTCGTTGCTCACCCCCTGCCTGACCACCCCTGCTAGCTCATTTGCTCATTTTCCACTTAAAATTTTTTTTTTTTTTTTTTTTAGACAGAGTCTTATTCTTCGACCCAGGCTAGAGTGCAGTGGTGCGATCTAGGCACACTGCAACCTCTGCCTTCTGGGTTCAAGTGATTCTCCAGCCTCAGCCTCCCAAGTATCTGGGATTACAGGTGCCCATCTCCGTGCCCAGCTAATTTTTATATTTTTAGTAGAGACGATGTTTTACCATCTTAGTCAGGCTGGTTTTGAACTCCTGATCTCATGATCCATCTGCCTCGGCCTCCCAAAGTGCTGGGATTATAGGTGTAGCCACTGAGCCAGGCCTTCACTTCAACTCTCTACTGCCTTCTCTCCAGACCTAAGCCAGGCTAGGCCAAGGAGGAGGAATTCTTCCAAATGACCTCTTCCAAATACTTGAAGGTACAGGAAGCGAGACAGGAGGCGTGGGGTGTGGACAAAGGGAGTGTCTCTATTACTGAGGAAGAGGTGCAAGGAATAGAAAATAGGGGGAAAAGGACGAATGAGCCCAGACCCAAGAGGTAAACAGCAGGAAGAGAGGAGGGGCTGGCTTCAGGTCAAAGGGAGATGGGTGGGAAGCTTTCGAGGGTCAGGAGGAACCTGCTGCCTCAGGATGGGGATAAGTTTGGTAGACAGGGGATCCCAGTGGGGTAGCCAAGAGCATCTGTGCATAGAGTTGTTCCAGAAGGTGGGCTGGGACCTCCCAGTTCCAACAACCGGGTAGGCTCTCGGGAGCAGGGAGTGGACAGCAACATGACAGCTTCAGACGCCATCAGCTCTGCAGCACCTGAGACCTGGAGCTGCTTGTGCTGCCTGCCCCTACCTGGGCTCCTGCCCTCCCACACCCGCTGAGCCAGGCAGCAGGCCTCCATCCCTGCCCCTGGCCCTCCAGCCCCCCAGGCTTCCACACCGGACCTCGCTGCAGCCTTTTATTCTATCCATCAAATTTCTTGTCCATGATAGTCAGGTTGGGGGCCCCTCCTGGACAGCCCCCTGAATATTTTACAAAACAATTCCCTGCCCTACCCTGGCTAGTGGTCCCCAGCCCCTAGCAACCCCATCCCACACGCATGCGCAGAGTGGTCATTGCTCCTTAGCCCCTGGCTGGGGCGGACTCCCTCCAGGGGTTGGGCTAGCTCTCAGGGGCTGGGGGCCGCCACTCCCACCTCCCACATCCCTCTGCAGCATGTCCAGGGCCTCCCAGAAGAAGTCCTTCTGTGCGGCCATCAGGGGCATCCACCCTACGATCTCCTTCATCTTCTCCATGCGGTCTTGCAACGTTTGGCAACTGTGGATCTGGCTGAGGTACTCCTCGCAGGCCCGGGCCGTCCCGCCGGGGTCCTGAGGTGCCCCTAGGCTGGGCTCGGGAGTCCCCACCACCCTGCTGGCCGGCAGGTCGCGATAGGAGGTGTGCTCCTCAATGTCATGGCTGGATAGCATGTAGAGACAGTCCCTGGTGGCGCAGAGGGCACAGGCACACAGAGGGACCTTGGAGGAGGCGAGAAAGGGGCAGGGCTGAGTGGTGCTTTCCTTGCAGGGGTTCCCAGGGAGCCCAGGCTAATCTGCCTATTGTGTTCTTCCCTCTCACACCAGCCCTGAGCCTGCTAAGTCCCAGGGGCGTTGTGGCCAGCACAGTCTGCTAAGGGACAGGGCAGAGTGCATGTTATGTGGCAGAGGAAGTAGGTGGGGTGGTGCTAGGGAAATGGGACTCCCTGCGTCCCTGCAGGAGCTCCAGCTACAGTCTTGTGGGCTTACTGGCTCAGGGCTCACGTCCTCCCTGGGTGCCCGCTCCCCTGACCCCGATCTGACCTTGACTTGGAGCTTGACGAAGGAGGCACTCCCCTTGGGCCAGCCGGGTAGGCGGCCCCCAGCTCCGCAGCCGCAGCCCAGCAGCTCCTTGCTGAAGTCCGAGCTCTGGCTCAGCACTAGGGAGTGGTTGAGGCCACACCACAGGGCGATGGGCCGCTGCAGGTAACGAACCTGGGGACACACGGCCAGGGGCCCTGAGCAGGGAGCATCAAGGGACTGGGGGGCCGGGGTGGGAAAAGGTTGACTGGAAGGCTCCGGCAGAATGTGAAATGGGGATGACGAAATGGGAGCCAGCACTGCCCTGCACCCTAGGTCTGCCCTGCTGACCCCTGCAGCCCCCATACTCTAACTGGTCACATGGGGTCTTGTTCTTCTGTTGGTACCTCATCTATGCCCCCCAGAAAACCAGCTCCTTGCCTGAGCCCTGGGCCTGCTATGTACCCCTCATTGTCAGCCCACAGGCCTGTGCCAGTCCAGCCTCGGGGAGACTTGCTCCTTGTGCAATTCCAGGGTAGCCCGCCACACCACCCCAGGGAAGGACTTTCCTTCCACTGTCCCTCCCTTCTGCTCTAGTGTTTTCTTTTTTCTTTCTTCTTTTTTTGAGATGGAGTCTGACTCTGTTGCTCAGGCTGGAGTGCAATGGCACCATCTCCTGGGTTCAAATGATCCTCCCACCTCAGCCTCCCAAGTAGCTGGGGCTACAGGTCCCTGCCACCATGCCCAGCTAATGTTTGTATTTTTAGTGGAGACAGGGTTTCACCATGTTGACCAGGCTGGTCTCAGACTCCTGACCTCAGGTGATCCACCTGCCTTAACCTCCCAAAGTGCTGGGATTACAGGCGTGGGCTACCATGCCCAGCCAGCACTCTAGCATTTTCATTTTCTTTTTTTTGAGATGGAGTCTCACTCTGATGCCCAGGCTGGAATGCAGGGGCGCGATCTCGGCTCACTGCAACCTCCATCTCCCAGGTTCAAGTGATTCTCCTGCCTCAGCCTCCCAGGTAGCTGGGATTACAGGCATACACCACCATGCTCAGCTAATGTTTGTATTTTTAGTAGAGACGAGGTTTCACCATGCTGGCCAGACTGGTCTTCACGGTCTCCCAAAGTGAAGGATTACAGGCATGAGCCTCCACGCACAGCCTAGTATTTTCAACTTATCACATAGTTCTCTTCCAAAATGGCCACCCTGTTTTTGAAAAAAACGCTTCTACTTGCTTCCTGCCACTTCCTGCCTCTCTCTCTCAAGCAGCAGAGTTGGTTACATGACCAATCTGAGCTTGACCACATTGTTGTTCCTTCCCACAATGAGTCCTTCCAGCAACTCCCAGGGATCTGGCTTTTCTCTCTGTTACACTACTGACATGCTGTCTCTAAAGGCACTTGGCCTCTCAGCAGCTAAATCCCAGGGCCTCTTCTGCCTGCTCCTTCTCCTGAGCCTGTTAGTGCTTTAATTCTAAAGACACTGGTAAGTAATTTATGGTCATCCTAGAAAAATTATGAAACATTGGCAAGCAAAAATTAGTTTTAAAATCACTGGAAATCCCACCACCCACTATTAACATCTTGCTAGATATTCTTTACTGTTGGCTAAACAAATAAATATACATAAGTTGTATATTTTTTTTTTTTAGAGAGAGGGTCTCAGTGTCACCCAGGCTGTATTACAGTGGTGTGATCACAGCTCACTGCAGCCTCTAACTCCTGGCCTCAAGCAGTCCCCTTGCCTCAGCCTCCTTAGTTGCTGGGATTACAGATGCTAGCCACCAGGATGGGCAAGTTGTGTATTTTTAAACAAAAAAATGAGATAGTGCTGGGTGTGGTGGCTCACGTCTGTAATCCCAGCACCTTGGGAGTCTAAGGTGGGAGGACTGCTTAAAGCCATTAGTTTGATATAGCCTGGGCAACAGAGCAAGACATTGTCTATTTAAAAAAAAAATATCCAGGCATAGTGGCATATTCCTGTAGTCCTAGCTACTTGGGAAGTTGAGGCGGGGGAGTTGGAAGCTTCAGTGAGCTATGATCATGCCACTGCACTTCAGCTTGGGAAGCAGTGAGACCCCATCTCAAAAATGTAATAATAAAAATAAAAAATGGCTGGGTGTGGTGGCTCACGCCTGTAATCCCAGCACTTTGGGAGGCCAAGGCAGGTGGCTTACCTGAGGTCAGGAGTTCGAGACCAGCCTGGCCAACATGGCGAAACCCTGCCTCTACTAAAGATACAAAAATTAACTAGGCATGGTGGCTACACCTGTAGTCCCAGCAGCTTGGGAGGCTGAGGCAGGAAAATCACTGGAACCTGAGAGGCGGAGGTTGCAGTGGGCCAAGATGTACCACTGCACTCCAGCCTGGGAGATGGAGAGAGACTATGTCTTGAAAATAAAAATAAAAATAAATGGTATGATATAAACTATTTCATAAATTTTTTTAACGTAAAAAAAAATTTATGAAATCTTTTCCATGTCAGTACTAAATGTATCTTACATTGTCACACCATCACCATTAACCACCCTGCCACCCATCCCATATGAAACTTCCTTCTCCCGTGGCTTCTGGGACGGGTGTTAGAGGGGTGCATGGCCTGTCTCAGAGGCACCTCTTCTTCAACCCTTGCCTACCATGGGGCCTGCTTCCCAGAGATGCTTTTCAGTCTCTACTTCTGTCCGTTCAACCACGTTCCCAGGTAGAATGTAATTGCCAGCTAGACATTTCCAATTGAATGTGAGTTTTTGTTGTTTTGTTTTGTTTTTGAGACTGAGTCTCGCTCTGTCGCCCAGGCTGGAGTGCAGTGGTGCGATCTTGGCTCACTACAACCTGCGCCTCCCAGGTTCAAGCAATTCTTATGCCTCTGCTTCCCAAGTAGCTGAGATTACAGGCGCACGCCACCACACCTGGCTAATTTTTGTATTTTTAGTAGAGACAGGGATTCGCCATGTTGACCAGGCTGGTCTCAAACTCCTGACCTCAAGTAATCAGCTCACCTTGGCCTCCCAAAGTGCTGGGATTCCAGGCATGAGCCTCCCTGCCCAGCCTCCAGTTGAGTGTTCTACTCTCACTGCAAGCGGCCCAGGTTCACACTCTCTTCTTCCTTAAACCAGTATTCCTTTTTAACTCTCACTTCGTTGGTAATACCATCTTCCTTCCTTTTCTTTTTTCTTTTTCTTTTTGAGAGAGGGTGTCTCTGTTGGCCAGGCTGGAGTGCCACGGCATGATCTCAGCTCCCTGCAATCTCTACTTGCTCAGCTCAAGTGATCCTCCCACCCCATAGCCTTCCGAGTAGCTTGGACTACAGGTGCGTGCCACCAGGCCCGGTTAATTTTTGTATTTTTCCTAGAGACAGGATTTCACCATGTTGTCCTGGCTTATCTCGTGCTCCTGGGCTCAAGTGATCTGCCCGCATCAGCCTCCCAAAGTGCTGGAATTACAGGTGGGAGATATCACCTTTCTTCCAGAGCCACCTCTGTCTTATACCTCACTCTTCTACATCTAAACAGTTTCAAGGGCCTATTCATTTTTCCCAAATATCTCCTATATCCATTCCTTCCCATTCTCGCTGCAGCGCCGGGCCCTTGTCACTCAACAGCCTCCTGGCAGGCTCCCCACCTTGGCCTCCTCTGCACAAGGCTGGCTGACATGTTCTATTACCTCTTAATGGGTTGCCTTTTCCTATTCCAGAACCTGCAGTGACTCTTGCCCAAATCTACACCTCTCCAGACTTGTGCCCACCTGCACCACCTCATACCTCAGTGATTCCCAATGCCTTCTGTGCTTTAGTGAGACTCATCTTGTCACTGTCCCAGGTATGTGCAAGTTGTGTGCCTATCCCCCTCCTCATCACACAGAATGCCTTCTCTACCCCTACCTAAGTCTATGTAACCTACGAGGCCCTGCTCACATCGTTTTGTTTTGTTTGTTTGTTTGTTTGTTTGTTTTGAGTCTTGTTCTGATGCTCAGGCTGGAGTGCAGTGGCACGATTTTGGCTCACTGCAACCTCGGCCTCCCAGGTTCAAGCAATTCTCCTGCCTCAGCCTCCTGAGTAGCTGGGATTACAACACATGCCAGCTAAGTTTTTTTTCTTTCTTTTTTTTTAGACGGAATCTTGCTCTGTCACCCAGGCTGGAGTGATGTGGTATGATCTCAGCTTACTGCAACCTCCGCCTCCTGGGTTCAAGCAATTCTCTGCCTCAGCCTCCTGAGTAACTGGGATTACAGGTGCCTGCCACCACACCCAGCTAATTTTTGTAATTTTATTAGAGATAGGGTTTCACCATCTTGGCCTGGCTGGTCTTGAATTCCTGACCTCAAGTGATCCACCCACCTTGGCCTTCCAAACTGCTGGGATTATAGGTGTGGGCCACCACCAAACCTCGACACCCGGATAATTTTTAATATTTTTAGTAGAGACAGGGTTTCTCCATGTTGCCCAGGCTGTTCTCCAACTCCTGACTTCAAGTGATCTATCCATCTCAGCCTCCCTAAGTGCTGGGATTACAGGCATGAGCCACCACACCCAGCCCCTGCTTATACCTCTTCTAGAAGTTACTCTAGCTCACTCAGGTCACCCACTCTACCCCTTCACTAAATTTCTATTACATTTACAGTGTTCACTGCAGAGAATCGACCTCATAGTGCCAACCCTGGGTAAGACATGGGCCAGTACCACTGGCATTATATACTGATTGGCTTAATTTCTCAGAGAAGCAGAAACTGGATTCTATGGAAGTTGGAGAAGTGGACAGATCTGGGGGTTAGGGGATTGGAGGAAGGGGGTTGGGAAGAATTGCTGGAAAACAATCTCACCTGTGTGGGTTCCCCTCGGTCCATTTTGTCCCCTGTTCCTAGCTGCCCATATCTGTTATTTCCTTGCATAAAGATTCGGCCAAATTCATCCACCAAGCCAAGGTGATTGTAGCCAAGAGCACAGAACAGGATCTAGAGTGCAAGACAGAAAGGGGAGATAGGCATTCTGTTCTCTCCAGAGCAACTCTGAGCTCCAGTCTCTCCCAACCACTAACCTGGCATCCCCAGCTGATTATCTATGTATCTATCTAAGAGATGGGGTCTCACTATGTTGCCCAGGCTGCCTAGAACTCCTGGGCTCTAGTGATCCTCCCTCCTCAGTCTCCCTCTGTGCCCAGCCCCAAGCTGATCTCTTTTTGCATGGCCCTCTCCCTGGGGGTCCCCTGTTCCTCTGGATCAATCATTTGATTCCTGCTCATGTTTCAGACCTTCCAGTCCCTATGGCCCCACCCCTCTGGTTTGCCCCATCCCTCCAAGAGCCTACCTTGGCAGGCAGTGAGAGAGCAAGCGGCATCTGCTGGTCCAGGGGGTCAAAGGCTTGAAGGGTCCCAAAGAGATCGCGATACACCCCTGGGGTATGCACCTCAAAATACACTCCCCCCTGTTCTGGGGGGTCAGGAGCCTTTAGCTCAGCAGCTTTGGGCACCCATTTCCTAGGGATAAGGCCCCACCTGGATGAAAGCTACAGGAGCCTAGGAGTCCTCACACCCACTAGGAATGCATCAGCCATGATGTCTGAGAACCAAAAACATCTTTTATTTTTGAGACCAAGTCTCGCTCAGTTGCCCAGGCTGCAGCGAAGTGATATGATCTCAGGTCACTGCAAACCCTACCTCCTGGTTCAAGTGATTCTCCTGCCTCAGCCTCTGGTGTAGCTGGGATTACAGGCACCTGCCACCACACCCAGCTAATTTTTGTACTTTTAGTAGAGATGAGGTTTTGCCATGTTGGCCAGGCTGGTTACGAACTCTGGGCCTCAGATGATCTGCCTGCCTCAGCTTCCCGAAGTGCTGAGATTACAGGTGTGAGCCACCGAACCCAGCCCTAAACAGATCTTTTCACTAGGATGCCCTCAGGGGTTCATCATCCAGCTGGAGTAAGGGTGAGGGATGTTGGTGTTTGGAGGGTCTAACCAAGGTTGGGGGCTTGCGGTGTGGTGGGGATCCATACCAGTGATGTAGAGCGTGCTGCTTTGGTTGGAAGTCATGCAGGCCACGCGCAGGTGAGGCAGGCAGTGGGACACCTTCCTCAGGGCCAGCTGAACCGTGTAGGAGCGTGGCTGGTCCAGCTGGGTCTCATTCACTACCAAAGAGTAGATCTTTCCTTCCTCTGGGGGTAGGGGAGGGAGACAGTTAGCTGGGGAGAGGATTCTCCAATAGCCGTATAAACGTCCCAAGAGACTCCCTAAACCATACAGGTGACACATTTACTGCCCTAGAGTGGAGCTGGGAGAAAAAGGGTGAGAAAGAAATAAGGGAAGAGAGACCCCAAGTCCCCCAGACTCCAGCCTCCACAGTAAGTCAGGGAAGTACTTCAGCATGAGAGACAAGTGGAGAGAAAAATCTAGCAGATTTGGTAGAATCAATTTGAGTGAGAGGTCTGGGGTTTGAGGGCCCTTCCTGGCATTCAGAAGTTTACAAGTGGTCAGTGTGGTGGCTCACTCCTGTAATCCCAGCACTTTGGAAGGCCAAGAAGGATCACTTAAGGCTGGGAGTTCGAGACCAGCCTGGGCCACATAGCAAGACCCCATCTCTACCACCGCCAAAAAAATTTTTTTAAGAAAGTCTTGTGGGGCACGGCCTCGAAGCCCTGCAGCCTTGTCAGGCTCAGTCCCCTCCCAAAAAAAAAAAAAAAGAAAAAGTCTAGAGAGTCTCAGGCCTAGGGCTTAAGTATAGAGGACACTGGGAAAGTAGGGAGCTGTTTAGAGTATAATGAATGAGGCGATTGGCATGGAAGCTGTACAGTTCGGATTTTTCTTTCTTTCTTTCTTTTTTGAGAGGGAGTCTTACTCTGTCACCAGACTGGAGTGAAGTGGCACAATCTTGGCTCACTACAACCTCCACCTCCTACGTTCAAGCAATTCTCCTGCCTCAGCCTTCTGAGTAGCTGGGACTACAGGCATGTGCTACTATGCCCAGCTAATTTTTGTATTTTTAGTAGAGATGTGGTTCTCACCATGTTGGCCAGATGGTCTCAATCTCTTGACCTCATAATCTGCCTCGGCCTCCCAAAATGCTGGGATTACAGGCGTGAGCCTCTGCACCCAGCCTGATTTTTGTATTCTTTTTTTTTTTTTTTTTGAGACGGAGTTTCGCTCTTGTTGCCCAGGCTGGAGTGCAATGGCGCAATCTCAGCTCACCGCAACCTCCGCCTCCTGGGTTCAGGCAATTCTCCTGCCTCAGCCTCCCGAGTAGCTGGGATTACAGGCATGCGCCACCATGCCCAGCTAATTTTTTGTATTTTTAGTAGAGACGGGGTTTCACCATGTTAACCAGGATGGTCTCGATCTCTTGACCTCGTGATCCACCCGCCTCGGCCTCCCAAAGTGCTGGGATTACAGGCATGAGCCACCGCGCCTGGCCAGATTTTTGTATTCTTTAAAGTAGAGATGGGGTTTCACCATGTTGGTCTCGATCTCTTGAACTTGTCATCCTCCCACCTTGGCGTCCCAAAGTGCTAGGATTACAGGTGTGAGCCACCATACCCAACCTAATTTCCGTATTTTTAGTAGAGATGGGGTTTCACCAACAGGCTGGTCTTGAACTCCAGACCTCAGGTGATTTGCCTGCCTCAGCCTCCCAAAGTGCTGGGATTACAGGCGTGAGCCACCGTGCCAAGACTGGGCTTTTTATTCATGTAAAATATTAAGCAGAATCCTAGACTGGGAGACAGAGAAAAGCAGAGCTGTTTAGATAGAGACTAGGAAAAAGTGGCATATGGAACCCGCTCTGAGGGGCCTCCCTCCCCCTCCTCTGCAGCAGGGCCTGGGGAGTCTGCAGGAAACAGTTTGCAAAAGCCACTGCTTTGGACCACACCTGTGAGGAGCAGTAGAGCCCGCTGGGTCTCCTGACCAACCAGCACGATCTGCTTGAAGCTCATGGAGTGGTGGAATGTCATCTTGAAGACCCGCTGCCCACTAGACTGCAGGTAGACCTCCACACAGTCACAGGCCCGGCTGCTGGTGGTACCCACCATTCCCTGTTGCTCCCGAGTGGCCAAGACATAGAGGTATTTTCGGTAAGCTGTGTCACACCTTGGGTCTGAGGCAAACTGGGGAAAAAGATGAAGGGTGTCTGGGATCTAGGATTTCAAAACCAGATGACGCTGGGGCAGCTGGATCCTGGAGTGGGAGGAGAGATGCTTGGATCCAGGGTTTTGAAATGAGCCCTTGCTTTAAAGTTCCTATGTGGAAGGGCAGAGGTCATAGAAGGATACCTAGGGATTGATGGGGGCCTAGGCCCCCAAAAGAGGGGTGGTGATATGGTTAGGCTCTGTGTCCCCACCCAAATCTCATCTGGCATTGTAATCCCCAGGTGGGAGGTGATTGGATCATGGGGGCGGTTTGCCACATGCTGTTCTCGTGATAATGAGTTTTCATGAGGTCTTATGGGTTTATAAGATAGTTTGCTCTGCTCTTGCTTGTGCGCTCTTGCCTGCTGTCATGTAAGACGTGCCTCTTCTCCTTCGGCCATGAGTGTAAGTTTCCTGAGACCTCTCAGTCATGCAGAACTATGAGTCAATTAAACCTCTGCTTTATAAATTACGCTGTCTCAGGTATGTCTTTTTTTTGAGACGGAGTTTCGCTCTCCTTGCCCAGGCTGGAGTGCAATGGCGCGATCTCGGCTCACTGCAGACTCCGCCTCCAGGTTCAAGTGATTCTCCTGCCTCAGCCTCCCAAGTAGCTGGGATTATAGGCACCCGCCACCACACCCAGCTAATTTTTTGTATTTTTAGTAGAGACAGGGGTTTCGCAATGTTGGCCAGGCAGGTTTCAAACTCCTGGACTCAGGTGATCCTCCCACCTCCGTCTCCCAAAGTGCTAGGATTACAGGCATGAGCCACTGCACCTGGCCTCATGCACATCTTTATAGCAGCATGAAAATGGAATACAGGTGGGCCCTCAGCTACCAGGGTTCTGCTACTCACATCCTTGGCTCCACGACACAACACAACATAGCGACAGGCCCGCTTCCACTGCATCTGGCCAAGGGTGGAGGAGACCAGGGCATTTTTGAGGAAGAAGAGGGTCCCCACATAGTCAAGAATGAAGACGTGGTCCTTGGTGGGCAAGAAGCGGCGGTAGCCATGGGCTAGCAGGGGGGCTACACTCTTGCTGAGACATCGGCGGCGGCCTCCAAATGCCTGGAAATACAGGCCCTTTGTGTCTGGAGGAGGGAAGGACATTGAAGGTTCAAGGGATGGGATGACACCAGGGCGATGAGTCAGAGCTTGTGTAGATTTCTCAGACACCCTGGTTTGTAGCTCCTCCCTATCCCCAGGATAGGGGAACAGACCCCTTATAAAGGAAATGTGGAAAATAAGCTTAGATTATACCAGACGTGTGAACTTCAGTCTCCACCCCACCTCAGCCCAGGGTCAAACATGTGCTTCTTAATGAGCAATTCATAAGAATAAAGACACAGAGGATGGGTGCAGCATCCCCCTCACCTTGAGCCCCTCCTCCCATCCTCACAGCCCGGTGAATTTTTGCATGCCTGTAATCCCAGCACTTAGGGAGGCTGAGGTGGGTGGTTCGCTTGAGCCCAGGAGTTTGAGACCAGCCTGGGCAATATGACAAAACCCCAGCTCTACTAAAAATACAAAAATAAGCTGGGTGTGGGTGCTGGCGCCTATAATCCCAGCTACTTGGGTACTTGGGAGGCTGAGGCATGAGAATCACTTGAACCCAGGAGGCAGAGGTTGCAGTAAGCCAAGATCACATGGGTGCTCCAACGTAGGTGACAGAGCAAGACCTTGTCTCAAGAAAGGAAGGAAGGAAAAAAAGACAGAAAAGTGGCAGAAAAAGGAGTGAAAAGGAATGATGGACGAAGGCCGGTCACCCTCCCTCACCCCAGCTTTGGATCTGCTTTCTGGGTCCCTCTAATCTCACAGTGGATGTAAGAAGTAACTGCATAGAGGATCCCTGGAGGCGAAGAGGGTTTAGGGCATTGTTCTCAGGCTGGGGGCGATTCTGTCCTTCAGGAACATTGGTTGTCACAATTAAGGGGGGTGCTGCTGGCCATCTGGTGGGTGGAGGCCCGGGTTCCTGCTTAAACATCCTATAATGCAGAGGAGAGCCCCCACAACAAGGAATTATTTGGCCCAAAATATCAATAGTGAGTTCCGAAGCCTTGAGTTAGAGAAGAGAAAACTCCAGGTTTGGGGAGTGAGGATGCCTCTAGGGAAAGAGCGGGAAGTGTCTGTGTACAGAGAGACTTGGCAGGAAGGCCGCTAATGGGAACTGTGGGTGGATTCTGAAGACTTGGAGGAAGTCCTCAAGGGAAAATGTTTGAATTGGACCCATTTCTTCTGGAGAAAGGAGCCCTGGAAGCACTGTTAGGAGTGTGGAGGTCATCAGGGGACTTTAAGAGTAGGAGGGCTAAGGCAGGACAGAGGCAAGGAGAATGGGAGGTTCTGGGGAAGGTGTACAGTTCAGAATGGCAGCTCTCTTCCAGGGCCGGACTCCAGAACCCTGATCTCGGAGGCGCGGACTCAGCCTGCGACAGATGAGTCTCCACACCCCCTCCGCATCGCACACTTCGTGGAAGTAGCGGCAGGTCTGGCCGAGGGCGACAAGGTCTCTGACTGGGAGGAATGAGATGATATGTTCCACCTGGGAGGGAGGAGGGAAGAAGAGGAGGCATCATCGGTGGACCCTTGGTAGTCTGGTCCCCAATCCTGTTATTCTCAACCCGCCTCCCCAAGGACTCACCAGCTCTGGGGGGAACAACTGGACAGAAATCGGATTCCCTCTCCCCTTCTTCTCTTCACCCCCAAGCTCCGGGCCACAAGAAGGGCAGCTTCTCTTCACCTACCCAAGAAGGGGTGCATAGGGTCCCGTGAAGCTCCCACATCTTTTTCTCCCTTCTCTCTGCCTATCTTGGGGCTCATCTGACTCCAGCTCGGTGCAGTCATGTCCTCGTCTCTCCCCAGACCCATCCCTAACTTCTCCAAATAAAACCTCCCGATCTCCTGTGGCCAGCCCCCCTCACCCAGAGCCCCTCCTCCCGTCTGCATAACCCGGTGAATTTTTGCAGCTTCCGTCTCTGGCTTCTCCTCATCATCCTGGCTGCCCTCTCCCTGCTCCTGCCCTCCTGTCTCCTAGGCCCTTGGCCCCCTGTTCCTGCTGGCTTTCCCACACCATGTCCCCTGCCTAGGCCTGGGGGACCTCTGGGGCCCCTCTGCCTCCTAGGCCCCTCCCTCATGGAGTCTGTGGCCAACAAACCTCTCTGTGACCTCACTGTTCAGTCACTGTGACCTATTCCCCTTAATGCCCAGGGCCCATCTCTTAACAGCTCCTGGGTTCTAGCTCAGTTCTAGCCATCAATGGCTCAAGGGAAATGCATTTTACTGGAGAAATAAAGTGTGAATTATTGGTAGATGACATCTTTATTTCAGGGAGCAAGAGGTTTTCCCACTTGAGGCCCTTTTAGTACTAACTCTGTAGAGAAACACTGGAGAATTCTTCACATCTCAGCAGGCCAAGGCCTCCAGGGATTGGTAGGTAGCTCGAGTATAAACTCAAAAAACTATAAACTCAGTTTGACAGGTGAGATGGAGACTCTGCTAATAATTGTTTAGCTCACAAATGATTCAGCAGATTTTTCAGTCTCGTGAAAAACATATTCAAAAGGAGACCGCGGCTGGGTGCCAGTGGCTCATGACTGAAATTCCAGCACTTTTGGATGGCCACAGTGCGAGGATGGCTTGAGGCCAGGGGTTCAAGACCAGTCTGGGCAACATAGAGAGACCCTATCTATTAAAAAAACAACAACAACTTAAAAATTAGCCAGGCATGGTGGTGCACTGCTGTAGTTCCAGCTACTCAGGAGGCTGAGGCAGGAGGATCGCTTGAGCCCAGGAGTTCAAGGCAGCAGTGAGCTACGATCGCACCACCGTGCTCTAGCCTGGGTGAGAATGAGACCCAGTTTCAAAACAAAAATACAAAAAAAAAAAAGGCCCCGTACGGTGGCTCACACCTGTAATCCCAGCACTTTGGGAGGCTGAGACAGGTGGATCACCTGAGGTCAGGAGTTCAAGACCAGCCTGACCAACTTGGAGAAACCCTTTCTCTACTAAAAATATAAAATTAGCCGGGCATGGTGGTGCATGCCTGTAATCCCAGGTACTGGGGAGGCTGAGGCAGGAACATTGCTTGAATCCAGGAGGCGGAGGTTGCGGTGGGCCAAGATCGCGCTATTGCACTCCAGATTGGCCAAGTGCAAAACTCTGTCTCAAAAAAGAAAAGAAACAATGAAAAGCAGACTGCTTTTGCTTTCGTGGGGACAGTAACATCATTGCATGTATAAAGAACAACCTATTAACGTGCGAGAAAGGGATGGATTTCCACTGAAAGCTTAGGATTTCGCCTAGGGTCTCTGATACTAGCTTTGTCTTATGTGAGGTGACATTTATGAGGAGAAATGGCAGGGGTTGGAGTTGTGTCTGTCCAGATTGGGTCAGATCTACACCAAGAAATCCAAGGAGTGGCTGGCTCTTGCAGGGTCTCAAAGGAGTCCTGTCCTGCTGGACCTCACCAGCCCTCACTGCACAGTGTCACAGCCCATTCATTGACTGCACCAGACTGACCACCCAAATTCCTTTATGTATGGTGCCTAGCCATAGCTAGGCTGGGATGCCTAAGATGGAATTTTAATAACTCAACAACTATTCAGGAATATCAACCTCTGAGATATAAACGTAGGAGAAAGCAACTTCAGTGACTTGTTTCTGGGCAATCCACCGCATAGGAAGGGGACTGCATTAAGAACTTATGCCACTAGAAAGGAAGTTAAGATCTCCAAGTAGACAGAAAGGTATTTTTCATTCCTCTTGTGTTTGGGTCCCTTTTATACACTCCATTTCACCCCAGGAGACGAATGAGAGGTTGTGAACAGAAAAAGGCCACTGTGGGCCAGGTGTAGTGGCTCACGCCTATAATCCCAGCACTTTGGGAGGCCGAGGTGGGAGGACTGCTTAAGCCCAGGAGTTTGAGACCAGCCTGAGCAACATAGTAGGACCCTGTCTCTACAAAAAATACAAAAATTACCCAGCATGGTGGTACATGTCTGTAGTCCCAGTTACTCAGAGGCTGAGGTGGGAGGTTGAGACTGCAGTGAGCCATGATGGAGCCAATGCACTCCTGTCTGGGCAACAGAGCAACTCTGTCTCAAAAGAATGAAAAAGTCCACTGAGGGCCAAGTGTGGTGGCTCACGCCTGTGATCCCAGTACTTTGGGAGGCAGTGGGAGGAGATCGCTTGAGGCCAAGAGTTTGAGACCAGCCTGGGCAACATAGCAAAACCCCATCTCTACAAAAATTAAAAATAAATTAGCCAGGCGCGGTGGTGCCGCCCGTGGTCCCAGCTACTTGGGAGGCTGAGGCAGGAGGATCCCTTGAGCCCAGGAATTCAAGGCTGCGGTGAGCCATCATTGCACGACTGCACTCCACCCTGGGCAACAGAACCAGACCTTTTTAATTTAAAAAAAGACAGAAAAAAAGGAAGAGAAGAAAGGAAAGAAGGAAGAGGGAGGGAGGAAGAAGGAAGGGAGGGAGGGAGGTAAAAAAAAAAAAATCCTTTGTGAAAACTGAGGGAGGGGGAAAGGGCTGTGCGTGGAGGTTCCAAAGACCTGGTTTCTATAGCCAGCTGTCAGGATTTGCTGTTCGCTCTTGCTAACGCATCAACTTCCCTCTGCCTCAGTTTCTGCATTCGTAGCACCAAGGGTGTGTTCTAGGCGTTGATATCCTTTCTAAGCCTCTAAAATCCCCAGGTCTGGTCCCTTCTCCATTCCTGTCCAGGGGAGCTCCTCGGGAGAGACCGCAGACCGTGCAACGATGCACCGACACCCTCCCTCCTCCAGCTGGGCGTCTTCAGGCTCTGGGAAGCCCCCGCCCGCCCCAGCCCGGGAGTCCTGAGACCCCTGCAGAGCCTCCACAGCCGGAGGTCCCCCCCGCCGTCCCTTCAGCTGTGACAACTGCCAGCATACTGGCCTCTAGCAGTCGCCCAACTCCCTTCCAGCCCTCGTCGCCGGCTAGCCCCCTAACACGTCCAGCTCGGACCCGCCGCTGCAGCTGCGCACTGCGTTCCCAGGCGGCCCGGGGCTCCGCATTCTTAACCCCAGACTTAAGAGTTCTAGCTCACCCGCCTCCTCCTTAGCAAAGGGACCGCCTTCTCGCCCATTCTATTGGCAGGTAGAGCCGTCCCTCAGAGAAGAGGCCTGTCCAGATTCCCTAAGGAGGATCTAATTGGCCTTCTTGACAGTCACTCGCTCGTATCTGGCTTACGATTGGCCCTTGTGGGAAGAGGACTAGGCGCCCCCTGCTTGCGGTCTCTCGGCCCGTTCCACTACTAGTTGAGCGCCGGTGTCCCCTCCTCTTGTTGAACCTGATTGGCCCCACCTCCAGATCTGAGCATTGTGATTGGGTGCGGCTGCGCTGGGCGGGACGGCTTGGAGCGTCGGCCGTTGGCGGGCGCTCTATGCTCTTTCCCCTCCCTTCTCTCGTCAGACTCCAGGGCCGGAGGCTCCACCCCACTGACGGGCTCTGATTGGTCGCTCCTGACGTGCCTCGGGACCACGATTGGTCCGTCAGGTCCCGGACACCACTCCCTCCCTCTTGAGGCAACTACGGCGGCTCCAAGGAGGGGAGTGGGAGAAGGAGAGACGGTCAGTCTCGTCAGTCAGGCAGCGGGAGCCGCCGGGAGCGGATGGCGGCGGCCGTAGTGGGTCCACTCGCCGCTGGGGGTGAGGAGGCGGCGGCCACGACCTCCGTACCCGGGTCTCCGGGTCTGCCCGGGAGCCGCACTGCAGAGCGGGCCCTAGAGGAGGCCGTGGCCACCGGGACCTTGAACCTATCTAACCGGCGCTTGAAGCACTTCCCCCGGGGTGCGGCCCGCAGCTACGACCTGTCAGACATCACCCAGGCTGGTGAGTGCAGCCGGGCCCCGGGACCCAGGCCCGACCGAGGCCCTCATTTGCATAGCCCCGCCCCGAATCCCCGCCCAGCCTGGGAGTCGGGCCCGCCCCTTCACCTGGCGGCCAGAGTTGCTGCCCCTCCTGATTGCCGTAAACCTGCTGCTACCACCCCCCATCTTTGAGAATTCCTAGACAATGCTTCTGGTTTGCACAGAACGCCCGGCGCCTCCGAGCGTTGGGAGTGATTCCTCCTTTCTCTTTATTTGCATAGCTGCGCACCTGTAGGATGGTCCCGCCCCTCACCTGGTTGGATCATTTACTTGACCTCTTAACCTCAGCTTCGATCAGTCTATGAAGCAGTCCCCACGAGCTCCTCTAATCACTACTTTCTCTTCCTCCTCTTCATCTACACCTCTTAACCCCTGTCCCGCCAAGATCCGAGCAGTCCCAGGCACCCCCTTCCCAGGGATTGGCCCCTACTCCCAAGGTTTCTGCTTTCTATGCTGCAACCCCGCCCCCTAAGGTCCTGGCCCTCTCCACTGTCCACGCAGCCCTCCAGCCTATGGGAAAGAAGTAAATCTCTATCTCCCTCACTCTTTTCTCCCTGAGCGTTTCCGCCTATTATCCCCAACCTCCTTATCTGAGGCTCCTCCTCCTTCTTAAGTCTGTGAGGTCACTGTGGAGCCTGTGACCTCATAGGGACCCTATAATTCCCATTTCAGTTTCTGCTTTCCCCCAGGGAAGGGACTTGAGGCCATTGCTGGAGGGAAGGAAATCTTATCTCTTAGCTGGGAGTGCTGGCCAGCTAGAGACTATCCTTCCACGCCTCCACCCGCAGGATCCGTCCAACCATGCACCCTCCACCCCCTGGTGTCTGTGGACGGTAGGGGGTGGGGGACTTAACTGTGACAGGTGAGTCAGGCCTCAGCTGCTCAGGAGGCAGCCCGTGACCTTGGGCTGGCAGTTGAGGGTGGGGATCAGGAGCCAGGAGGAGGAGGACTGCATTCCCGAAGCCTCACCCCAGCCCAGACCTCCTCCTCCTCTCATCTGCAGGGTGGGGTACAGAGCTGGAGGAAAGTGCGTATTTCTCCCTAAGCAGGTGCCTGCTCGCCTTGGAACACTCAGGCTGGCACTGGTGCTTGCTCTCTCTCCTCTCCTTGGGAGAACCAGTGGTTATCCACACTGATCTCGCCTGCTCTGCCATGGGTGAGATCGTGAGATTGGGAATGAGTGAGCCCCAGGAGCCATTCCCGCCCCTTACAGCCCGGTTCCCTCCCACCCCCACCTAACCCCACGCTCCAGATTGACCTTAGCAGCTGTGTGACACTCGCAGTCTGTTCCCTTCCCCTCCCCCTTGCTTGTTTTTTGACAAAGACCAAATGTTATTCTTTACTTCCTTAGGCTGTCTCTCCCTGCGTGGACTCTTGGGGAAAACCATCCGGAGCTCCCCAGCCCCTCCCAGCTCCCGCCCCCTGCCCCCTCCTCCCCCAGCATTCCCGCTTAGGGTGCAGCCAAGCTCCTATGAGCTTTCGGGGAAAATCCAAGCTTCCGGAGAACCCCCCTCTGCCCTACTCTCCATGCAGGAATCCTCAGTCCTTCCAGGGCCCAGGTTCTAGGCCAAGTGGGGTCCCTCTTGTCCAGAACTCTGTCCTCTGTCCCCTCTCCCCAAGCAGGGTGCTAGGGAGGCTAGGGCAGAAAGGGGAAGTGACAAAAGCATAGAGTTGCCTGCACCCTGCCCTCCATCTCTCCTCACCCTCCAAGCAGACAAAAAGCATCAATGCTGTGCTGCCTGGACTAGCTTTAGCCTTCCCCTCCCATTTCCCATCTCTTTTTGAGTGTCTTCCCTGTGTCTTCTCTATGGCTGAGGACCTTGATCTCCCTGGGACTAGGCTCCCTGGGGCGATAGTAGCAAGAATCCTGAGGTGGTGGGAGGGGCCGTCTTGCAAAGGAGAAGTGCAGCTCATTCTCTCCCAGACCACATCCTGTGCCCCCTGTGCCCTGCCTCCCGCCTGAGCTCCCTTCCGCTCCTAGCTCTTGTCCCCTCCACTGCTTACCCCATCAGATCTCTGAGAACTCGGTCTCTACCCACTTCATCCACATGCACACACACAAACACACTTGCAGACAGAGAAAGCGGGCAGGTGGAGGTGTGGCTGGAAGGGGCACATGCCGTCCCCCTCACCCTCTCCAGAGCAGTTATCTCCCAGGCCAAGACCTCTGTGCACCAGGGCTGGGCAGAGAGGAAGACAGAGGGGTCCCAAGGCATCAGGCTGTCATCCGCCCTGGTAAACACGGGGCCTACCATAGACAGAACCTGACAGATTGTTTCTGCTTCATTTCCTGTCACAAGACTCATTTCCTTGGGGGATATACCCAGCTTCTCCTCCTCTCAGCTTGCTTTTGCTGGCCTGCCCCTGCCTGAAAAGGGCCCTCGAAGAAGCTCACAGGTCTGTGGCCTGGGACTTCCCCTCACAGGCCCTGGGCCCCTCCCAGGATCGGCTGGCTGAGGAAACAGAAAGGCAGGCTTCTCCAGGTCTAAGTGATTAGTGGCTCCGTGCTAGAGGAATCCGAGGCTGCTGGCCTCTGGATAGCAAGGTAGTGCTCCAGATAAGATGACGATAGTAGACCCCAGCCCTTCCTCGCCATGCCCGAGATGCTCACACAGTTGCTGATCTCTTAAAGTCTATGTCAGTAAGAGAGGAAGCAGAGTGGGGCTCCTGGGGCTGGCAGAGGTGGGAAGGAGGCCTGCCCTGGGCCAGGAGAGCCCAGATGGGAAGGATCTGGGAACTCCAGCTCCCGTCTCCAACCAGGTCTTCTTGCCCTTCCCTCCTAACCCTTGGGAACTGGTAACTATTTAGAGTCCTTTGGACCTGGCTTGCTGGTCGTTGGGGCTGGCGGAAAACTCATCCAGTGTCAGGGACTTAATCTCTAGAGCTGAGAGAGAGTGGCCTGTGGCTTCTCCCCCGTTGAAAACACTGGAATAGGGAGGAAGGGTCCCGAGGAGTGATGAGCTCTCCCTGCAGTTTTCCCCAGGGGCTTCCCATATTCCCTCCTGGAGTCCCCCCAGCCCCTCAACTCACTGTTTTCCCTTGAGCACTGACCCCTCTTCTGCCCTTCTGTCCTCCACCTCACCTGACATCTCTGAACAGGAACCACAGGAGTTAGAGACTCCAGTTGCTCTCCAGAATAGCTTGCCATTGACATCGCAGCATTCCCCCCCCCACCCACCAGTCTGGGATTCTCCAGCCCAGTGACACTAAGGCCTTTGCCTTCCCTATGCCACTCTGTTCATGCCTGGAATGTGCTCCCATTGGCAGAGGGCTTTATTATCTCTCCTGCGAGGCCACATTTATGGCCTTGAATCTTTAGGTCTGGAGGTTAGGGAGCGGGCAGCCAGCTCTGGGGAGACTCAAGGTCTTGTCCGGGGCTGGGCCTTTCTGAAACTCTCCCCGGACACCTGCTTTCCCTAGACCTGTCCCGGAACCGGTTTCCCGAGGTGCCCGAGGCGGCATGCCAGCTGGTGTCCCTGGAGGGCCTGAGCCTCTACCACAATTGCCTGAGATGCCTGAACCCAGCCTTGGGGAATCTCACAGCCCTCACCTACCTCAACCTCAGGTAGGGAGCCTGAGCCAGGAACGAATGGGAGTGTGTCCTTCTCAGCCTCAAGTACTACTTAGTGACCCTCCCGGTGACCCTGAGAGGATGGCACTGCTGGGATGCCATGCCTGGGGAGCCAGCCCGCTGCCTTTCTCCCTTCTACAGCCGAAACCAGCTGTCGACGCTGCCACCCTACATCTGCCAGCTGCCCCTGAGGGTCCTCATTGTCAGCAACAACAAGCTGGGAGCCCTGCCCCCTGATATCGGTGCCCTGGGAAGCCTGCGTCAGCTTGTGAGGATGGGGACAGGGCCAGAAGAGGGACCCCTGAGCCAGGCAACAGGGACCTTCTGCAGGGAGGTTGGGGAAGGCCTGGACCAAAGACAGAGTCAGGAGGGCGGGTTGTGCTCAGCCTGGTCTCATGGCCCCTTCCCACTGCCTTCCTGATACCAGGATGTGAGCAGCAATGAGCTGCAGTCCCTGCCTACAGAGCTGTGTGGCCTCTCTTCCCTGCGGGACCTCAATGTCCGGAGGAACCAGCTCAGCACGCTGCCCGAAGGTGAGGAATGAAGAACCGCGGAGGAGGTAATGGTGTGTGCGTCCCAGTTAGCTCAGGCTGCGGTAACGGAAACACTGAAGGCCTGGTGGCTTATACATGGCAGCCATTCATTT